CGCCGGAATGCGTCATCACGAACACGTCTACGGTCGTCAATGAATAGAAAGGGTATTAAACACAACCGATAATACTGTCGCAGCCACCAACGGATGACCAGGGTGCGGTCTTGGGTAGGCTGCGGTCTTGGGTAGGCTGCGGTCTTGGGTAGGCTACGGTCTTGGGGTAGGCTACGGTCTTAGGGTAGACTACGGTCTTGGGGTAGGCTGCGGTCTTGGGTAGGCTGCGGTCTCAGTGTAAGCTGCGGTCTCAGTGTAAGCTGCGGTCTCAGTGTAAGCTGCGGTCTCAGTGTAGGCTGCGGTCTTAGGGTAGACTACGGTCTCAGGGTAGACTACGGTCTCAGGGTAAGCTACCCGGTTCTGGCGACCGGGGTTGGTGTTTTGGAATATTTGATCGGCCGCTTTGGAGGTTTAAAAATGGACGTAAGCATGGACTTGAACCCACGACTACTCTGCTGTAGTACTCGGACCCCAAGGCATGGGACTCAAGATACTCCAACGACCTTAGTCCATACGAGTGGTTCGCTGACTGGCCGTTGATCAAGTCTGTTGTTAGAGAATACATAAGTCATAAGTGTAACATTCTGCACATCGGATGTGGAACATCGAGTAAACTCCCCTCCCTTTCCGCCCGACCGCCCGACCTTCAGACCTTGGCGATCATCTGATATCGGACGGCTATAAGGAGGTTGTAAATATTGATGCAAGCGAAACGGTGATACAGTCAAGAACCAATTCAAAACACTGCACATGTAAGTGCCGGGAATCGAACCCGGGTTTGAGTGATTATATTTATTGATGTAGATCAAAGAGTGGATGTGAGGCAGATGGATGTTTTCGCTACATCTGAATTTGACGCAATAATCGACAAAGGAACAATAGACTCTCTCATGGTAGGCACATCTGTAGTGGGCACATCTATTCTTCTTAGAGGTTAGGCATAACGTGGCACGGAGGTGGCTTACGTGGCACGGAGGTGGGTGGAGCGGGACAATTGTTTTGTTTTCAGTGTTCCGCGAAAGCGACCCATGAGTCGGGTGAGGCATTATCAGAAATATTCCGGGTTCTGAAACCAGGGGGCGTCTTCTTGTGCTTCTCTCATGCGGCCCCGCCAAAACGAATGGGTATGCTAGGTAGGCCCGCCTTAAAATGGTCGGTGACCTATGTAGAAATACCTCGGTCCATTCCCGTGGAAAAGGCCACTGCTGTGCCTCCGCCACTATATTGTTATGCGTGTAGAAAAAGCGGCCTATGAGACTTCTTCCACCGAGCGTTACCGGAGAGCCTTACCGGAGAGCCCTACCGGAGAGCCTTACCGGAGTCAGCGCCCCTTACCGGAGTGATTATGTGTTGCTTGTAAAGTAAGGTATACATACCTTACTTTGTTAGATATGTATAAAGGGCATTGCAAAGTACGTGCAGAGCTAAGGCGTCTTGTGGCGATTGCGCGATAAACCACTCCGTCTTTATAAACATTCCAAACTTATGCTGGACTATCACTGTACTCCGAAGCTGCTGCTCATTCAACTTCCCAAAAATCGGGTCGGCCATTCGCTCGTGAAATCGTGGGTTCTGTAAGATTTCCAACCACGTATATGTTGATGTCAACTGCAAAACGGTATATTGAACGGCACACACACGTGTGCGCGGCGCACACACGTGTGCGCGAAGGAGCGCAAACGCAAGTATAAGACCGGGCACACATGTGTGCGCGCTAAATTGAACGAGCGCAAACGCAAGTATACGACCGGATCGACGCGTGATGGGCAAGGCGCGCAGCATACCTGATCTAACTGAATTAGTCGTCCTTCCGACATATTTTCCTTCTTGATTACCAGATTTTTACAGTCTTCAGAAAGATACATTGTATGCTTCTCCAGGGAATCCATGTGTATCCGATCAACTTTAAGTCCGTCCTTGGTCAGGTTGTCTCCTGCTAACAAGAGTATATCATTCAGCTCGTCGAAACCTTCTGATTTTTTCAGGATCTGAAACACGAAGTCGATACGTTAATCCACAGCATGCTGATCCTAAGTGATTCTTACGGGTGCGCAGGCTTTGTAGAAGGGTGAGTGATCGAGTTTGTCCAGTGTTCTTATATTATCCATAGGCATAAGTGTTTCGGAAGGGTCGGAGTCGCCAAGGGGCAATTTGCGGGGGTAGGTGAACTGATGAGGTGAGGACATGTCTGGGCTAGGCTGCGAGTGGCCGACGGTTTGGGGAATGACCCCACTCATAGAAGCAGTGGGAGTGTAATTTTTCTCCTTGATTTCTTTCTTGACGGGTCTAACAGGTGCTTCAGGTGGGACGTAGACCACCGAGGAGAATCGGGTATCAGGTCCGACGTACACGGCGTCTCCGCCTTCGCTTTGTTCACTGGTGGCGCTCTCCCAAAAGGACCGTGGTGGACGTGTATTGTCCGTTACCGACCTCTTGTCCATGACAGGACCGGTGATTACGACGCCTCGGGATACGCTAAGGGAGGACTCGTCCCCTGATTTCTTCATGGCCGATTTGAGGCCTCGTCCGCGCCCTGGGTCATCACTGCTACAACTCATGTCTCGACTGTTCTCGCAAGTGCACCCGTTGGCTGAAAGGTAGTCTCGAGAGACTAAGTCCTGCACGGACGGACTTGCCATGTCGCCAGCATCTGACTCCGCTCGCAACGTAGGGATCCGCGGTGGCAATTGAGCCCGCGGCTCCCACTTAAGCGGCGATTCCTCCGGCCATTCCGCAATCAGCGGCGCGCACGAATAACGCGACGGCTTAATCAACCGTGACGGTGCCAACCGCCGCGGCTCCCCTGGCGACAACGTCGGTGACGACCCAGCAGATTTCCTAATGGCTTCGGTCCGCCTCTCCCTTACACGGTCCCCCGTCGTCCTATCCCCGGGCGCCCTATCTCCGATCGCCCAGTCTCGATCCCCGATCGTCCGGTCTCGATCCCCGGACCTCCGGTCTCGATCCCCGGTCGTCCGCTCTCGATGCCCGGTGGTTCGGTGTCGATGCCCGGTTGTCCGGTCTCGATCCCCGGCTGTCCGGTCTAGTGTTGCATTCGCTCTGACGGCCGCTCGGTGGTTCGTCCTGGCATCATTCGCTGGGTCTGGGGTGGCATTCAGGAAGCGTTCGTCTTCGCGTCGTCTCGCACGTTGGGGACTGCGTTGCAAGCCACCGACGAATTCGCGACTGGCCGATCTCTGCAGCGACGGCCGCAAATGTTCCACGGGACTTGTGCGCCCCGGTGGATTCGAACCCACGACCTTGACACCATCCGCCAACGAGTTACTGCTGCCAGCAACACCGCGCTGATTGGAAGCGTAACGCAGCCGCGGCGTCGCCGAACACGTTGAGCTACTGCCGTCACTTACCCGTCGCCGTCGGCGACTCCAACTACACGCTCGGAACTCCGTCGTCTGCTCAAGCGACGGCCGAGCCACCGAAGCCCTGTGGCACAACCATTCACAATTCATCAAAAAGTTTAACCCCTTCTCACTATCCCTACCCCCCCCGGTTCGAGCCAACCCCCCGGCCAACCCCCCCTAGTAAGCCCGCTAGGTCATAGCTCGTCCATGGTCCTGTCGGATAAAATTTGTTGAGCTTTTCGCACGGACGCAATGTAAGCAACAAAGTCTTCCTCCTTTATGGCCGTTCCCGGCCGTCTGAAGAAAGTAGGGATGTGAAATAAGGGAGGGGAAGGGGGCGACTGCAGTCAGCCGGAACAGACTGTAGTCAGCCGGAACAGAAACGGAAGGGACGTACTGGGCTGACAAGTACTGCATGATGATATCCTTAACATGTTCCTCGTCGTTCTCCTCATTGATCCGACGATAATATTCCCACGTCTTAGCGGCCTCCACCTTCCTACATTGACAGCGACTTGTTATCCATCGGAACAGGGTGTTACATCCAGGGTCTCTGGGTCGGGTGTTTCTTACGATAGTTGATGTTTCCGTTGTAGCTGAAAGACGGCATCCAAGGGTACTTTGCGACCATCAGTAATCGTGGCGCCGGCAAGGGAATCTGAGTCAGTGTCTTGGATGCGTTGCAGGTTGGTTTGAAAGGTGACCGGAGAGGGTTTCTGGAGATGCCCAAAATATGCTATAGTCTCTCCGCGAATGAACATCAGGCCAAGATACAGTTCACCAAAGTCCCCACCGAACCGGACTCGTTCAACGCAGCGGTCCAACACCACGTTCCCGTAATGGTCGTAAGACCGGATACAGCCTACGTACAATCGCCCGTCCCGCGTCTCCACAATAGTCGTTGACATTACATCAGAAAAATAGCACCCGGTCCGGGCCGGTGACTCGTGCGTTGATTCGGCTCGGTCACACAGTCGGCAGTCGGGCTGATACTGACGCAACGGACCAACAACACGAAAGTGGCGCACACACGTAACGGGATGAACTCATACTTACTTACTCGGGTGAATTTTTAATTGTGGACTCGCGGATGCGCGTGCAAATTGCTGGTCGTAATCTAGGGCTGCGAAGAGGCAGGTTTTGGCTGCTGGGCGTGTCCAATGGGTTAGAACTGCCCGAGACCCCAGGCTCGACTGAAGGTATCTCGTCTACTGAAGGTATCTCGTCTACTGAAGGTATCTCGTATAGGTGGAATTGGGAAGGCAAAAAGGTGTACGAGTGTGTGCCGTACTGGGTGGGTCGTTACTGGGAGCCGCTAGATCGCACGGGGTTTGCGAAGCTGGAGGCCAGGTATTCGACACACGCGGCAAAGTTACGTGCTGATTGGGTCCATGACGGGCCGGCTTTCCGGCGTGAGGCGCAGATGATTGATGGCCCAGTGGATGACGTGGTGGGATATGATCCTTCCGAGGGGTGGACAATGACGGGTGAAAACGAATTGGTGCGCTCGGTATATATTCCTACGTTGGGTATCTTGACGAAGAAAAGTCAAGATGCATTATTGAAAGCTAAGGATAGGGGTGGTTTATTTGCCGACCCTTATGAAGCTCATACGGCTTTGTATGCGAAAATAACTCGCGAAGGTTGGGAGCGTTTGCGGTCAGTGAATGTTGAGAACTTCTTGAAGTGTTCGTTAAAGTATGTTGAGTTGGCAGCTATTGTATCAAGCGCTTACGCGCGTCCGTTCGGTTTAGTGGATGAAAATGTACGCGCTCGTGTCGTTCGAGCTTTGGGTCCCAAGGCGTTCCCACTTGCCATAAGTAACTGGTTAAGCGGTTGTTTATTACAACGTACTATGACTCCCGTAGAATCATTCGCTAAATTCTGCTGCCGTCTAGGTTATAACCCGCCAACAAATGGCAGGTTCGAATCCCTCCGACGTGTCTTGCCACCACTACAAACACCACCCGACTTAAATATTCTTGAGACGAAAGTTCGGCGTCTACTTATCAATCTTAGCAATCTACCGGAAGTCACTGCGGAGGAATTTGGAGAACTCCGACGATACTCCGGCAAACCGGAAATCATTCAACGAGCCAAAAGAACAACACTTCATCACCACCCGCCACCCACCAAGAGACATCGCACTATCGATCGTCCAATATCCGAGACCAACTACTTGACAAACCAAGGTTTGAACCTTCCTTCGAACACCTACCAGACTGTACAAATCATTTCGATAGATCTCGTCTCTCCGCCCCAAATGCCGCCAGATTTTTCACCACCGGTGCTTGGGGGCGGTCTGGCTACTGGTTCTGCGTCTCACGAATCTGCGTCTCACGAATCTGCGTCTCACGAACCTGCGTCTCACGAACCTGCGTCTCACGATCCTGCGTCTCTGGATTCGTTAAGCCACAGTGTTGAAGGCAACGACCCATTTATGCAGCTCAGCTCTCTAAACCAAGTGATGGAGCCGCTGGAATCGGCGTCACAGGAATTGACGTCCGTACCTCTGCACCCGAGTTTTGGCAGCGATCAGTCCCTGGACCTCGCTGGGGCGCTGTCTATGTCTTCAGCTCCCTCGTTCGAGGTGCCCGAATCCGAAGAATGGATAAATTCTGATTGGCAAAGTTTCGTAGTCGACTGGAACGGTGAGCTGTCATGAACGGTGAACGGCCAGGAACGGTCGGTGGCCGTGAACTTTTTGCGTAAAAATCCTTGGGCGATGAGGGGTATGCGCCGGCTGCGGCATGAGCTGATTTGGGCGGTGGCAGTCTTGGCGATACGGCCGGTGTTGACGTCCGGTGTGGAGACAGATGAGGAGTTGAGCTCGAGAGAATATTGGCGAGGAGATGGTTTGGAGGACACGTTTGGGCCGGGGTCGGATTCGAACGCGGGTTTGGCCGGTCCGCGGGTGGTGGCATGGGTTCGCCGTTACTGGGAGTGTGTATCGAGAGACGAGTACGAGGCGTTGCGTGGTCCGTTGACCACGCCAGAACAGAAGAGACGGGCGCAATGGCAGGCGGGTGGGTCACCGCGATGGTCATACATTCCGACATTACCGGTGCGTACCCACTTGGCTCAAGCGTGTGCCCCGTTTGCGGGCGACTACGATGCATACCGCGCACTACAAGAGGCATTGGGCGAAGATGCCTGGCGTAAAATGCGGATGGTAAAGCTAGCGGATTTCGCTCACTGTTCTCTGAAATATGTCGAACTAGCCGCTATAATAGCGATCTTCTTCCGATCCTCTTTCGGTCTAATAGATGAGGAATGTCGCAAACAAGTTGCCCTTCTCGTATACCCAGACCACCATGTTGTGCCGGACCACCATGCTGTGCCGGACCACCATGTTGTACCGGACCACCATGCTGTGCCGGACCACCATGCTGTGCATGACTACGCTATGACCTAAAAGAG